AAAGAAAAGAACAGAAGAGAGCAAGATTATTGTTCTTGCTGACATTATATTATTATATGATGAGTCCACGCATACACTCATACACACCAGACAATATGAAATATTCATATCTACACCAAAAGACAAGTATGGTGGTGGAGAGCCTGTATGTGTGGTCTGAGGAGGGGGTGGCTTAAAAACTCACCTGCTCTCTCTGCTGGGGGGAGGATGAGCATGTCAGATAGGTGCACAAGGAGGCCAGCTGTAACACACACACACATCCCCCACTGCATCCATGCAACCCCACGGGGATTTGGAACACCTGTATTCCTGTATTCAGCGATGCACAATGAGCTATAGAAGCAGTTAAGCTAAAGGGCCTTGGGAGTTATTAGCTGGGTGGGGGATGGAGCCGCTTTAGGTCCGTGGGTTAACGTGCGTCTCGGAACAGTGTATGTGCGAATGATCGCGTTCGCAGCGCAACAGATAGGCCGAGTTGTTAAAAAGCTCCAGAGATGCGGCTTGTTGTGCAAGATGCATGCGAGTGTAAATGGTTCATTTTACAGAGTGCTAGCCAAACAGGTGTTCTCATTAGCAGGTATTCACTGAGGGCTGAAGGAGTGACAGAGACACAGACGAAGGCAGGTTGAATATGTCCTTAAAGGGATAGTTTGAATCTTCTGGTGTGGGTTCTGTGGAAAGGTTAGAAACAATTAAAACTTTTGTGTCGGTTCATGCTATGAATAAGAAGAATAAGCTAGGCAGAGAAGATTTGGCAAGTTTTTCATGAGCACAACTCCCTCAGCTCTGCTGCTCAACCCATAAATGCATTCTCTTAAGTGTGGCACCATTTAAAGAGAAATAAACAGACTTTCCAACTGTATAAGGTTTGTTGCCAAAAGGCACCGTTACAACAAAGAAATAATCAACCATACACAAATGACAGTTTGTGCTACATTAATTATTATTGCACAGGATTGCTTATAGGTGAAGACGTGACCTGCTTGCTGTCAGGGAGCTACACACCCAGAGGTCTGCGTGGCTGAAAGCTAATGCCAACTAACCTGCTTCCTCGCAGTTCAGCCCACAACCTACATGAGCTGAACGCCACCTACACAGCAGCTAGCTCACGCACACACAAACCCACAGCAAAGAGCGAAGAGTTGAGCTTCAACCCCATCTGCCACTCAAACCAAACCCCTCATTTCCTCAGGTCTCCTTTCTCACCGTATTACTCCTCTGCTGCCTACAAGCTCCACACCATGATGTCCAGTGTAACTGTCTGCGCCGCCATCAACAAACACCACATACAACTTCAGCTTCAAGTGCCAAAAAAAAGAAAAGAAAAAGAAGATCAGAGCAAATTTAACCCACTAATCTCGTTTAATCGACTTCAAAAGTCCATTCATGGTAGATAGCGTAAGCGGAGCTTCAATTCCTGCTCTGCGACTCCACAAGAACACGCGCCGCTAATATTTTTTCCATCTTTCAGCCGAGCTCGCCTACACTCCTCCTCCACTCATCCTTGAAGCTGTTGTCTTGGTCTGTATTACATTTTCCCTGTGGAACACACAGATGGAGGTGCAGACGCACATGCACATAACACTGTTCTTGTAAAACCAGGACTACACAACCCCCCCAAAACATTCAACGATGCAACAGGGAGAAGATACGGGGGGGGGGGGGGCACACACAGATCCAAAGTACTCTGAAAGACAGGCCTGTAAGGTGACAGTGTGCGCTGAGAGTTTATTTGACATAATGCTATTTGGATTGCGAGCATTAAATGCAGATAATTGAGCCTTATCCTGCTCATGACAACACGCACACGGAGAGGCACACACGCAGCAACAAGCCGATGGTAATTGAATCACTAAATAAAGGACTTTGGAGGGTTTATCATATCAAGTGCCAACCCTTAACTCGGTAGTTGGAAGGACAAAACATCTAGGCAAATCCTCAGAGGCCTAAGACAATTTGGAAAAATGGCTTGATGGTCTCTTAATCCCGGAGATCCAGTTAGCAACTGTCCCAACAAAAGAAAAGGCCTAGATCCTACAGCTGTACATGTTGACTGTGTGCCAAAAGGGTGCACGGTAACCCACAGTAAAGACGACTCTGTGTAGAAGAGCACGTCTTAAAATAAAAATCTAATCATAGCAGATATCAATTTGAGCAAGGAATTTTAGCTATGTAATGGTTTTGTCAGTAAAACCATTAAAATATGACGCATTTGCTCTTAAAGGGATAGTCTGTTTTTTGGGTTTTTTTTAGAATACTCTGTCAAATAGTTATTGAAAGTGACATTAAAGAACACAAAACAACATTAACAATATTTTTAGACTAGAAGGCGCATTAAGCAAAACAAGTTCATTTTGACAGATTTTTCAGCGCCATGTACCACATCAAATGTGTTCGAGGTCAGTAAGCACAGCCAGAATTAAGACATAAGGCGCACCGGATTATAAGGCTCACTGTCGATTTTTGGGAAAGTTAAAAGATTTTAAGTGCGCCTTATAGTCCGAAAAATGCGGTCCTCAGAAACGGTGTGCCTGTGTGAAGGAACGCTACATTAGCTGAAATCGAACCTTACACTTTTGCATGGCAGTTAATTTATTTGACTTCTCCAACAAGTGTTAGTGTTACTGTCTGTGAGTCCAAACGTTTATTCAACTATTTAAAACGATACATTCAGCAACCTCAAGAGACATTTGCGAAGTAAAATGGACGTTATCGTGAAAAAGTGTAAACCTTAATGGCAGCCAGTCCACTGTGGCAGGCATGATTCATTCTGTTTGTTACCGTTATGGGGAGCTACCCTTCAGCGACCTGCGTTCATCAAGCGGATCGGAACATGTCCAGTGGTCCAAACAGCCTCTCCAACAGAATTTCATTTGGGCCGTCAAGATTTTCTGCCCTGTGGACTGTGAGAAAACTTTTGCCGATCCAAACAATTGTGAGCGCGAGTGTTTGACAATCCGCTCTTTCTCTCATGTCAGACAGTCGTGCGTTGTGTAAATTAATTTAGTCGTGCACTGAAGCGGTCAAATTATCCCCGTTTCAGGTGGGAGGTGGATGTGGGCGCAGGAGGACGTCTATTTCTCCGATTTACTAGATGGGACTGTTTTTCACGAGACATAACCTCGACCCGCAGGAGGAAGGAAAAGGGCGACAAGTTTGTGCACAAAAAAAATAAAACAACAAGACATTAAACATTAAGCAACATATATCATATTTTTATCAGAAAATGGAACAATTAGTCAAATTTGTGCAGTTAGTGATTCAGAAAATTAATGTATGCCCCACTAATGTTTTTGCATACGTAGCTGGTATATGTTTATTAGCTAGCATAGCGATTTCATACCTGTATGACATTTTGATCAAAATGTTTTATAAGTCTGAAAAACATTAAGAACGACTTCAGTTTGAGCCGTCAGCCTAGTCAGAGGAAGACGTGTCCTTTTCCCTATACTCCGTGCTCTGTGATGAATGTAACCACAACAGTTGAAAAATCACCAGACTATCCCTTTAATAACTTGTTTTTGAACTAGCAGCCATTTCAGTTTACATTATGAAAAAGAAAAGTATGCAAACGGAAAAGTTTGATGCAGAGTGGCGCAGGAAACACATGATCAGCACGCTCACCTGTCTGTGTGCGTGCCTGACAGGTGAACAGACAGGTGCACAGGGGGTGTGAAGGGTTACCTCCTGTCACATGGGCAGAAAAAATGGATGGACAGACCACGAACACACGGAGCCAGACGGAGAGACTGAGACACTTTCAGCTTCAGTCCCTGAACAACAGAAAACACCTGATGCTTCTCAGTTCTGCACTTCAACACTTCCTCTAAAATAACAAAAAAGATGCATCTGTAGGCAGCCCCTGTGCACGCGCGCGCACACACACACACACACACACACACACACACACACACTTTTTGATCTATTAGAGCTACTCTCTAGCAGGGGTTTCCCATAGTTTTAGATCAACATGACCACATCAAAAACTTTTCACTTCAAAATATCTTTAAGCTACGTTAACATTGCTAAACAATAAATAAATAAAAAAGGGATATAACGACAACACAACAATTATTCAACTCATTATAAACTTTCCCCCTTATTTATGACTATTGCTATTTTTTAAAACAATTATATTGAACATATAGCAAGTTACTTTTTAACTTTAGCTCATTTCTAGAGATTATATCAAGACCTCAGCCTGGTGTTTTGTGGCCCCCAGTGGGGTCCCGACCCTACCTTTGGGGAACAAGTTCTCTATAGGGGTTGGGCGTTGGAAGGAGGTGCAGGAGGAGGAGGGGAGCAATCTCCTGTCTTTAAATCTTCTTCAGGAGGCTGTAAGGAGCATCTGGACAAGACATATCTACAACTAGATCCCAATTAGAACAAAAGTTTCCTTATTTATCCCAATATTCAGAATACAGTACAATAAATAAATAACTAACTCTGGAGCAGAAAGTATTTACAAATATTAGTCCATTGCGTGTTTTTGTAGTTGTTGTATGTTAGCACATGTTCAGACACACAGAAAGTTGCGTGGTTCCGTCAGTGTGTAAAGAGAAACGAACATTTGATTGACAGCTTCCCCAAACAGCAGCACGCGCAGCAGAGCAGGCTGTGACGTACGGAGCAGGTAGCTCGCGCTCTGCTCCGCTGAGTTCCTGTCAGAATCCGCTCGAGCTCCCGGTCAACGCGACGCCAGAAGAAGACACAATGAAATGATGGAAATGAAGAACTAAGAGGAGAACAAACAAGCAGCGGGCCTTCAGCTCCGACGCGCGTGGACAGAAGAGTTGACGTGACGCCTCCAACCTGTGCCACTACCAGCTGCCGTGCGCGCGCCGCTAAACTAATTGACACGAGTCGAAGCCGTGGAAATGTTGCGACGTGCGCCGCGTCTGAATGAAACCTCCAGCCTGCGCTTTGGAGGAGGAGGAGGAGGAGGAGAGAGTCTCCTCGCTAACACCCAGGGAGAGAGGAGAGGAGGAAGTCAGACATACCTGTTACCCCATGGGGTCTGGGGTGGCCGCCGTGTCCGTCCTCTCTTCCGAGTCCAATCTGCCGTGACAGCAGACACGAGAGAGGAGGGGACGTCCAACGCGCGAGGTACTGTCCCTCCTCTCCTCTGTGCGCTGTTTGTCAAGTGTTATCCCCCCCCTCCCCTGCTCTGTCCAACTCCCCTATCTCCTCTTCTTCCTCCTCCACCACCAGACCCTGCTTCTCTCTCTCCCCTGCTTTTCCGTGTCTTTGTATCAGGAGCCTCCCCTCTTCCTCCTCCTCCTCCTCTGGGCAAGTCTCTCTCTCTCTCTCTCTCTCTCTCTCTCTCTCTCTCTCTCTCTCTCTCTCTCTCTCTCTCTCTCTCTCTCT